AGGGTTAGCTACATAATTGTAACATCTCTTATTAGGTTTTCCTACCTCCTCTCACACCACAATAGGGAGTTGGGATCCCATGAATACATAAGATGAAAATTCTAATACTCTAGCAATAATAAGTCCCAGAGGTGTTGCTTAACAATCTTTTCATCAAGAACTTTGCTACAAGCTACTTCCTAGGCTTTCCTCTACCTCTCGTCCAACCACAGCATGGAGTTGAGACCCATAGAATGCATAAACAAATAAGATCAGAGAAGCTTAAATCTTTGGGTGCAAATATAGTACAACATCAACAAGCTGTATGCCCTAAATCCATATCATTTTACTAATAATTAGCATTGAGATGTTTAGCAATAGTAATTTATAGGGGGGTACTGCTTTACAATATTTTTTTATCGAGAACTTGGCTACCAGTTGGTTATAAATTACACTGTTTTTCACCAGAAAAGAAATCATATTTGTCAGATTTCACTGGAAACTGTTGAGAGCTCAGACTAAACTATGTTGCATTGCCCATATGCACTGGGACTCAACTTTCAAAATCGCTACTGGAATTAGGAACTAATTTGTCTTTCAAGTCATCCCAGCTCCATCATCCATTATATACTCTTCTGCACAGAATCTAATCCATAATCCTACCAATTAAATCGTTGTTCCGTTTATGTCCTCTGAAAAACGTATTGGATATAACTTTGATCCCCAAATTTTCTAAGGAAATTGTTCGTCGACCATTTGAATTAGACCAATAAAATAGTTCAAAATTCAAATACACCATATTTTCTCCAGAACAAGAAAAACTAGGGTGCACAAGAAAATGAAATGGAAGACGCCCGTAGCACAAATCGCAGAAACCCAATGTATTAATCAGATCTAATACGCTGTCACCGCACATCCTAACGATCGGAAGCTGAAGAAGCGCGATCAAAACAGTGAATGAGAACAATCAAGAAGGGAAGGCCGATGAGAGTCCGACGGGTCAAAAGATGGGATGAGAGACGGACCTCCGCCACCGGCGAGTCCCCGCCGAGGCACGAGCTTCGCCGCAGCGGTGGAGGGGCGGGAGAAGGAGGAAGCAACCGCCAGCGCCACCCGAGCCGCCATGCTTCGCTGCAAGAGGGAGAGGGAGAGGGAGAGGGGCGATGGGAAGAGCGCACGTCGCTTCCTCGGGAATGATGGGCTCGAAGCCCGACCTTCCAAAACAGTACATAAATGCTTATGTAGGCCCAAATGTTACCATAATGGGCTTCAAGCGAGCCCATATTAAGCTGAACATTGAGAGGGCTCTTTAGGTAACCCAATTATTATTTCATTTTTCATCTATTATTATTTTCAATAAATAAACATAAGAAGAGCTTTTTGATAATATTCATAATAATGAAACATTACATGAATATATGTCAACATATACACCTCCCAACTCAGTGACCTTATGTTAATCCCTCTATATATTTGAGCATTTTTTATAGTTAATCTTCATTGGCTACTATAAATTAGTTATTAATTGAGATGTTATTGACCTCTGGGAGTTTATTATGATGCTAAAAGTGTCGAGAGTATTTTAGATATTTTATATCATCATATGCTTCTTTAACTCAAATATAATAATGTTAATTGAATTGTCTAGTGTTGCTGTTAACAACCCTAATATACATATGTTATATATATATATATATATATATATATATATATATATATATATATATATATATATATATATATATATATATATATATATATATATATATATATATGGATTTGAAAAAGCTAAATGGGTTATGGGAATAAGAAATATTCTTAAAATAATATGTTATTAATAGATTAGTATATTCATGGAAAATATTAAACTGTCCAAGCCTCCACATATTAAACTACAACTAGCATGTTAATGGAAGTATAAATAATATGTATATATATATTTGATATAATTTATGATATCTATATTTCATAAATATAATAAATGACATTATCATGTTTTTAGTTTTTAAGATTGAGGCATATGTTTTTAAAAAATATTATTCACAATATTCTATAAAATACTGATTATAAGCATGGATAAACATTAATGCTTACGTTAAGCATAACGTAATAAGTTAAAGTATATTAGCGGAGTTGAATATAAGATTAAGTTATGATAATAAAAATATATATTATGACTAAAAGTGATGATTGAATTTTAATCGGTCTTAAATGAATCTCAAGTTTTAAATGAGTTTGATCATGATTAAAGTTTAAGTTTTAAATATTATTTATGTGGAGGATCATAAGTTACTAAGGTATAGATAGAGTAATAAAAATTTAAATGAAGATAGAAATAGAAAAGAAATATTATACTAAATGTTGAGATACATAAGTTAAATTGAATGATGAGTATATACCAAAAATATTATCTTTGTTAAACTAAATTAAACTAAATTAAAGTTATTATAAGTATATTAGTAAAAAAAAAATTGAAATGATGCCTAATAGAATTGAACCCTAAACATCAAGGCAACCTCCTAACCACTTGTTCTTTTTTTTTTTTTGTTCATCATCTTTACCAACCTAAGGACACAATACCTTTTTTCTCTTTCTTCAACCATTCTCTTAGCTTTTCTTATGCAAGCTAGAAACCCTAACTCTAATGAAAATTGAGGTAAAAAAAAACTTATTTCTTCCTTTATTATACCTAAGGTTTCAATTTTATAGATTATATATTGATATTATCAATTTTTTTATAACATAGAATTTTAATTAATATTTAATTTTTGGATATATTTTGTATGATTCTTTTATGGTTTTAAAGTCTCTAGTATGATCTTAATCTAAGAGTGTCACAATATGATGTACTCAGAATTTCTTATTTTCTAAGAAGTTCTCTTTAAGCTAAATTGACTCATTAGATATATGATTAAGCTCTATCCTTTGCGTATATTTTAAAAGATTATTTTAAGGTTCTATGAGATTTGTTATTAAGTGAATAACACTTGTACCAAAATATAAGGTTTATAAGTTCAAACAATCTTAACCTAATTTCAACATAAGATAATAGGTGTTGATAATTGTATTAAGAGAATAGTTTAACCTGATTTTATTTTAAGCTAAAATTTGTTATGTCTTTAGTTTATATATTTCTTAGTTTTTTTATAAAAAATTATGATAATTCAACATCGTTGGTCAACTAGAATAGTAAAATAAAATTTCTTCGTATAATTGTGTGTTGGTTTGATTGATATTAACTAGTTAATTTGATTATAATGTGAATTGATAGTAGAATCTATATGAATTTTTAAGTTAAGTATAGTTTATTTTATGAGAAATTTTATCAGAATTTTTTCTATGAATTATTACAATGAATTATTATAAATTAATAATTCAAGAGATAAAGTTTTTGATTAAGACATCTCTCCCAATTTGATAAGTATATCAATTCCCAATACACTTGATCATTAAGAAATGCTACATTTCATTGACATCTATATTTTGAGTTAAATCAAGTAAGTATAAGTTTGTTTCATCATATAAATTATCATATTTATAATATATTTTAAAAAGTATATTTCAAATGATATGATTGTCTTGAGGTAAGCATGAGCTAAATGTGAATGTATATATTTTGTAAGTATAAAAATATATAAATTATGATAAAAAAATCTTATATGTACACATATATGAAGATATAAGATATGAGAATTAATATGTTTTCCATGACATATGATATGAGAGTGCATGATTATATTACGACGTACTATGCATGTATTTGTTATGATGTAAATTTTTACTTTCTTATTATTCATATGATATGTTGTAGGGTCATGTTTGCTAAAAAAATCGAGATGTCTACCATTATTTATCTTATGCTGATAATTTTAAATTATGGTATATATGACATGATACATGCTCACCTAGATAAAAATATAAAAGCTTATACTTACTGAGTCATTATTTACTATAGACCTTATTTTATAGGTAAAGATACTAATACCTCACTCGGGTGATTGGATAGAGAAATGAGTACGTGCAAGCTTATATTAGTGCATATGTGAACGATAACTCGTAAACATTTTATGTGTATAAATTTTAAACATGTCATTTTTCTTTGATTAGATTTTATAATTATATACAAATGTTAAAAATAATATATATATATATATATATCATTTTATTTAGTAAATTTATATATATTTTAATTTTAAAATTATTTATTATATATTTTAATTCTATCGATAATAATAAGTATGGATGGAACTAACAAGGATTGCAATTAAAATGACAAGGACTGACAAGCCCGAGAAACAAGCATATTGATATGTGCTTTTACTGCAAATTAGATGTAAATGAGTGCAATTATGAATGTTAAGAATGTGGACCGATGTATATGTTTATGCCTAATAAATATATCAACTCAATGTCGAGGTAGAATACTTTGGGATCAGGGAAGGGATGATATAATTGCATTAGCAACATACTAATATGTTTTCTGTGAGATGGTTGCTTAAGCACCCAACTCTTTTTCTAATCACCCCCCAAATATTTTTGCCTAATGGTTAGATTAAGGTCAATATGAATCATATCATGAAATTAATCTCTCTTTTGGCAAAATTAATCGTGCATTTGGACAATTTTAACCTTTTTTTTTTCCCACTGTCTTGTTAAGTTACTTAAACTAGGTTTTAGAATTCTAAAAGAAATTTCTTTTAGGAGAAATAATGAGGTTTATCTCAAACAATTTTGATATATTAAGTGTAAGAAAAAAAAAATGCTTCCTACATCCTTTTGGCCATTCAACATGCATAAAAAATTATGTATATATATATATATATATATATATATATATATATATATATATAAATTTGTGGAATATTTTTATAATTTATTATAGTTATTAATTAAATCCTTACAAATTGTTCTTTTACACATAAAGCACAAAAAGATTGAAGTCAACTCAAATAAAGAGCAACATAAAAATACGTGTCAGTTGAGGGGTTATTTGCAAAACATAAGATATTAACTGTCCGTTTCTCTCGAGGATGCGCCCTTAGCGGGGAATGGGATAACGAGCTCGCTTCGGTATCTCTCTGAAAGGCGTTGGTTTGGGGATTGGTAGCGCTTCCCTTCCGGATTTAGATCTCTCTTTTCTTATCGCTTTTGTCTCTTTTCGTGAAAGGACGCTGGTCGAGAGTCAAAAAGCCTATTTTTCGACTATTTCCTGGTTTTTTTCGCTTGTAATTTGGTAAAGTAACGAAAAGCTGCAATTTGATGTCAGTTTGCTGGATTTTATGTGTGGTAACGCACTAAATTTTCCTATTTGGGAGCATTTATGGAGGTAGAGATAGGGGATTCGGTTCATGGTGCTTGGTTGAGAGATTCTCTTCCCGTTTGATTGGTTTGGGTTGAGGAATCGAGTTGGTAGGAGGCCTCCACGTCTCGTTAAAAGCCGCCGGTTGTGTTTCATCGGTCTGCGTGAGAGTTTTTGGAGTTCGATTTGAAGGAAATGGTGCTTTGGTTGTGAAAGTTAGGGTTTTGTTTCGTCTTTCCACTTAAGGTTTGCATTTCCGCATCATCATCATCATCATCATGTCTTCTACCTTGTTGGCGGCTCCAACTGGCGCTCGTAGCATGATGGAGGAGATGCTGATTGCGATCAGATTGAGGGATGAGAAGCCAAAGGACGCCTTACCAGCATTGCCCGTCCGGCCCACATTGAGACGACGCCCGCCGTCATCGAGGAACTCGCTGCCCATGGCATTCAAGGGTGGGAGCATGGCAGAATGCTCATCGAGTGGTCCTGATCCGGCAAAAGATAAGGCAAGGCCGGAACGGAGGGAATTCAGTAATGGCAGCTCTGTAAAAGATAGATCAGAAAAGGTGAATCATCTTGAGGCCGAAGAGTTAGTGAACTATGAAGAAGTGCCTGGAAAGTCCATTGTTTCGCAGTCCTCCATGGCAGGTCCGGTGGATGAGAAGCTTGGACACGGCACTCGCAATGGTTTTGTTGAAGAGGAGGTAATGCAATTCTGATATTTAGTCAACTTCTTTTTTGAAAAGAAACAAAAGATGATTATTCTTTTCCAAAATTTAATATTTTTTATAATTTGCTTATCCTGGTAATATGTGCATAAACTTCCCCATGATCAGTAAAGTTCGTTGAATACTGTGGCTTTGCACCAAAATATGTTTAATTTTCTTCTTAATGATAAAGAAAGATGTATATGCTTTCATGTTATTGTTTGTTGGTTATTGGTACTAATTGCATATTATTTTAACAAAAACATCTGCACGTTGTTTCTTGCTTTTTCATTGTAGGTTTTTTGAAAAATAGTTGAGTTTAAGAAATAATTAGAGTTAGAAGTTTTATGTTCAAAGACTGTTTAGATATGGGACAAAGTGCTGATCAAGTAAACTTCCGCAATTAATAAGAGAACTTAGCATACACATGGTTTTATTAGTTTAAAGTGATCATAATGAGGATATTGGTGTGAAGTTCGGATATTAGCATCAAGAACTGGCACGACATGATGACCGTGCACCAATATGGCACATTACAAAAGGTAGCTAATACATGCAATGTGGACATGGCTACAATGCATTTAACAGATGGTATATAGCAAAACATGACATGTCAAGTTTAGTTATTCAAGAAAATAATAACTTTTACAACATGACGATCCAAAACGTACAAAAGGAACAAAAATACTAACAGATGTTCAATTTTTCTTACATCTATTTTGAGCATGTTTAAATGGTAGCCAAGCGCATGAGACTCCTGACAACCTGGTAGGGAAGGTCAATGTACATTGCAAAGGTGCAATCTTACTATGGCATGAAACCTTGGCCTCATTTTAAGCATGGGTCCATTCAACTTAGTTCTTGTTTAGCTAGCATGTTGATCTAGATATTTCATTTTCATCAAAATTTCTTGTGCCATTTTTGCCTACAAACAATAACACCATGGGAGCTCTGAAAAATTTTTGTGAACATGTATGGCAGGCTTCAAAAGAAGATGGCCAGAAGGTGCACCCTTCGAGGGTGGATGACCTTGAGAATCTGGTTTTAAAGACAAAGGCAGAACTGCGACAAAAAGAGGAGGAAAATGTTGCATTATTGAAGCAAGTTCAACAGTGTGAGAAAAAGTGGTCACTGTTTGAGGTAAAACTGAAGTCCATGGAGGAGATGTATCAGACACAAATAGACACTCTGAAGGTGAGTATACTTAGTTACTTATAAAGGAAATAGCTTTTAATATAGTGATGTCCTCGAAGATTCTAAATTTTTATGTTGTTAAGTGATGAGTGAATGAGTATTACTCACAGCAGTACAATGAGTGCTTGTCTTTTCATTGTAGTTTGTCAGACAGCTAAAATGTGATGCTTAGTGTTATGCATTATACGACCGTCTAATTAGATCAACATGTTATCAGACACTAGATCATCATCTAGGTTAAAATCACTATGTCATTGTATTGTGATTTTCAGTTAGAATGTCAAGGAACTGTTGTTATTGTTGAGGGTGTACTATTTTCCTTCTGAATTGGTAAATTAGACACGTGTGTTTTCTGATAATATACTCTTGATTCTGTACCTTTTGAATGAAAGGGACTGATAGTAGGGATATTTTTTTTGGAAAACAAATTGAACTTGAGGTATTACTACCCTGTTGGAACTTATCCATCCACCGAATGCACATTATGGAATTTATATAATTTGTAGCATACTGCTGCAATTCAAATACAATCTTCTTCTTTCTAATCGGTTGCACATGCAGGTGAATCTAGCTGCGGCACAGAACAGCATTGCTGCTGGTGACACAGTTAAGCAACCTCTAAAATTTGAGGGTGCTATGTCTGCTGAAGCGCAAACGCCTGAAGAAACACCAATTAAACATCATGTTGCTGAGTCAACAGTCTTAGATGGCAGAAATAATGTTGTTCATCACTTAACAAAGGAGTTTGAGCAGCAGAAACAGGTGTTCGAGGATGAAGCGTGTGTCCTTAGTGAGGTGAACTCTGGGCAGTCGGGATCCGTTGCAAAATCTATCGAAGAGCTTCGGAACTTGACGATCCGCTATGAAGCTTGGAAGAAGGAATACAAGGTCCGTCTGCGTGATGCAAAGGCATCACTTCTGAAGCTTGGGAAACCAGAAGGCGAGAAATCGCGGAGAAGATGGTGGTACAAGAAAAAAAAGAGAAATTGAACTTTGATATGATGTTAGTGGTGCGCTAGAGCTAGTCGATACGCTGCCAGTGCCTGAAAGCTAACTCAAGACATCTACCATGTCATAAACACTGATGCTCTATGTAATTCAAGTTAACAAGGCTCTTTGTATTTCTTGTTTCCTGCTTTGCAGTGCACAAGAGCATTGTATAGAACAACAATTTCATAGCATGTTGTACTCACTACAGACAGTTGTGAACATAAGAATAATAAATGTAAGCAAATGGTTCATGTGTTGGAAAAAATGAGATGTATGTAATGCTATTTCACTCTTCCCACGATTTCATATTCAGTATAAAGAAGCATGTTACTCTTTTACCTGTGCAGAAATCTTCTTCGTTATACTAAGTGAATATTATAATTTTGTCCCTAAGGAGGTATCATAATGATTAGGAAGTTGTCTATTATATAATTTGAGTGGAAGAAACAAAGGTTTTTTTGGGCTCACCATAGCAATGTTTAGAATATTAAAGTATATCTCTATTTTATGAAGAAAATAGAGTTACTAATTGGCTCACTAATTACACGAGATCGAATCATGGTGATGATATTTGTCTCACTAGCTTTTGTCAGGGCTTCTATGGATCATAAAACTTACTTGTAGATTCTAAAATCTCTCATTTTTACGAAGAAAAATAGAGTTACTAACTGGATTCTACTTGATCGCACTGATGGAATGTAAAAGGTGGAGATCTAATATTATGTGTGTGAGAAATCCATGTCATCCGTAAAGTTCCAGCGGTGACTCAGTCAATCTGACTCGGCCACCGGCGACCCGCCCGCGCCTCTCCTCCCGGTGGCGCGGCTTCTGGCACCACCGCTGGCCCCACCCCGCCGCTCTCGACTTCTCCCCGCTCATCACATAGTTCAGCGACGAGGCCGCAGCCGCTGCTACGACACCGACATCAAGTGCTGGCTCGGGTATGCCGCCTCCTGCGGCGTCGAGGAGCTCGGTCCCTCGTGGCCACCTTCGTTAGCCGCGGCCGGCGCCTCCGGAGTTACATTGGCGCTTTGCCAACGCCTCCGTTCTCTTCCATTCCACCTACGAGTGTTCCAATCTGACCCAGCTCACACTCTCGAGCTCCAGCGTGAACATCAAGCCGCTCTCCTCCCTTGTGGTCCTCATCCTGCATTCGCCGCACGCTTGATCTCCGGCACTGCCGTATGCACGTCACGGTTTTGCTTGAATTATAAGTTGATGTCTATGCCAGAGATAAATGAATGACATACGTGGAGACGAAGATGGCTCCCGACATGCACACCCTACACATTTATCATCACATGGATAGTGCTCCTTTTAAAGCTCGGTGGATTACTGTTGCATTCCATCAATTTAAATTGTCAGAATATATTTACATATATATATAATAATTATTATTTACCATATAATACGTAACAGTAGTAGCCACGTGTTTTATTTCCCAAATAAGAAGGGAGATTGACGAGCTAAAACCTGCGCTCTTCGACGGGGAGCACTTCGCACTCTCCACATCTCTCGGATCTTCCTCTCGGTCTCTCTCGATCGATCGATTGCTCCAGCGTTGGAGGATGCGCTCCGCCACCTTCTTCCTCGACGGCGCCTTCCGCCGCAGCCCCGCCTTCTCCAAGCTCGTCCTCATCTTCGCCGCCAGGTCCCTTCCTTTCGCCAGTCCGTTTTAAGCTCTCCTACTGTTTCTTGATCCAACTCGGCCAATCTCTTCCGAAAAGCCAGGATCTTTCTGGTCTTGGATTTCGATTTGCTTCTTTCTTGATCCGTAGGACCAAGAAAGATGGCATCTTGTTCCTGTCTAATGCGAAAATAATCGTGTAATCTGCTTAAAGAAATGCTAGTGTTTTGGGGGAAAGACGAGGTGGTTCTAGTCTCGATTGCGTCTTCAATCCCTAAATTGTACGATTAGAAAGCCAAGGATTCGGTTTGAGTCACTATTCTATCCGCTTGATGAACTCGAAAATGGAGCTACTGCAGCTTATCTTATGCGTTCTCGTACGAACTGAGATGTGCTTGGAAGTTTTAGTTGTTAGACCATCTCTTTGTACTCTAAAACTCTGTAAATTGCAGCGGTGGAGGTCTTGTGGCATATGCTGATGCAAGAACAGATCCTGCTGCAGAACCATCTCAAACAGCTCCCAAGAAGAAGATGGTTGTGCTTGGTACTGGTTGGGCTGGCACAACCTTCGTGAGGAATGTCGATAGCTCCTTGTATGATGTGCAAGTGATATCGCCTCGGAACTATTTTGCATTCACCCCTTTGCTGCCGAGCGTCACATGTGGGACGGTCGAACCACGCAGCATTGTTGAACCAATACGCAAGATCATAAGAAAGGTATGCACAAGATGTGTTGGGATGAATTCTTTGTCTTCTTTATTTTTATGCTGGAGTGACCCTGCTATTCTGGATGGTTCTGATAGCCTTTATGTCAAAAATTTACTTCTTTTATTAGGTACCAAATGGTGTATTTGTGGCACTAATTATTTGAATCTAGGATTTAAATACCAATTGGACCGACATGTATTGACTGATATGGTTCGACCAAGTACTGTTGTCGAAGCATATAGCTTGATGTTATCACTTTCTTCGATGATATTGAGTAGTTCTAATCATTATATCGCCCAATATACCTGTACCAAAATTGATGATAACTATAATCCTTGATTTGAAGAACCCTCTATTTGGAGGGGAGTATCATCCATATAGAAACCTCACATACCATCAAAAACCATGGCAGATTTTATAGGACTATATTTATGTACAATATAAGCCCTGTCATCATAATATTCTGGAAACTGATGACGTGAATGGATTATGATAGGAAAAAAACAATGTTTTTAACACATAGGAGGATTGATAAAAAATAATATGAAATCTTTTGTAAAACTTAGAAGGCACTAAGATGGACTTTGATAATGTCATTTCTATTTTAGACATTTTTTGATTTTTTTTCTGAATTATTCAACATCAAAATAATGTGTCATTTCCTAATTTTCTATTTTTTATTTTTGCTGCAATGTTTTTTAATATTTGAGCTTCTAAATATGTCCATACACAGAGGTAAAAATTTATGAAAAAAATATTTTCCAATACATGGTACACTATTTTTGGGGTTAAAATAAAAATAATGTATTGCATATAAGGACTAGTTTAAATCATTTAAACTTTTCATGAAAGGTTTGGATTTGTCCCAGATGGGTATATGTCACTGTTTTTCTAATTTAGAGAATTATTTTGATATATTTTAAATTTTCAGCATCTCATATGTGATATATTGTTTTTTAGGTTAATGATTTCCCTTTGTTTTGTTCCAAAGTTATCTTCATTGTTGTCACCAGCATATTGAATACCAGCCTCTTGTTGATGATTGATTTTTCAGAAAGGTGGAGAAATCAAGTTCTGGGAAGCTGAGTGCTTCAAGATCGATCCAGACAACAAAAAGGTCCACTGCCGGACTAATATAGGAACAAATTTGGAGGGGAACGGCGAATTCCTTGTTGATTATGACTACTTAGTGATAGCAGTTGGAGCAAGGGTAAATACCTTCAACACCTCTGGTGTGGTTCAGCATTGTCATTTCTTGAAGGTAATTTCCATAATCAATTGATTTCTACGTGCAATGATGTTGGGTATGCTAGTTTGTTAGAACACAAGATTAGAGCTCTTGCATGGCAAAAATAGTCTGGCTTCCGTTTGATGAATGTCCGGTACAGACTACAGATTGTTAGATGATTGTGCATTCAATAGTTAAATTGTTCATTGTTTCTGATTTACTTTTAGGAGCACTACCTTTTTGCAGGAAGTAGAGGATGCTCAGAAGATACGCAAAAGTGTCATAGACAGTTTTGAAAGAGCCATTCTTCCAGATCTTGATGAAGAAGAGAGGAAGAGAACTCTCCATTTTGTTATTGTTGGTGGTGGTCCAACTGGTGTTGAATTCGCAGCAGAGCTGCATGACTTCATCTCTGAAGATTTGGCTAAGTTGTACCCAACTGTTTGCAACCTAGTGAAGATATCAGTTATTGAACATGGAGGGCACATCTTGACCATGTAACACAGAACTTAGTGTGAATTATCTCTAATCATATAGTTACTTTTTAAGTTTACAAGCACTGAGTAGTCTGCACAATTGTAGAACCTTCAGCTCACATCTGTTTGCTAAATGAAACTTCGTTGCCGCTGTCAAATTTTAGCAACTAGGCACATCTGATGTAGAACATCTCACAGGTCTTTTAACAAGTGTAGCTCTAATTGTGCTAAGTTGATCCAACTTCACAAATCACTTTTTTTGCATTTTATACTTGTCTGCTACTGTGACATGAGTTGCATTGTGACATCATCCACAGGTTTGATAAAAGGATCGGCAAATTTGCAGAAGAGAAGTTTCGAAGGGATGGTATTGAACTGAGAACGGGATATAGGGTTGTGAAGGTATCTGATAATATAATAACTATGGAGGACAAATTGCATGTTGAGACTTCTGTATCATACGGAATGGCTGTTTGGTCAGCTGGTGTTGGAGCCCGTCCCATCATATTGGATTTCATGAAACAAATTGGTCAGGTTAATTTCTTCTATCTTGAGATCATAACTGTCTTATAAATTTTTGTTTGGATGTACTAATTCATGCTGTCTTGAAAAATCTTTTCCTTCTATCCGCAGGGTAATAGGCGTGCATTAGCTACGGATGAATGGCTGAGAGTCCGTGAATGTGATGGTGTATATGCTATCGGTGACTGTGCCACAATGAGTCAAAGAAAAGTCATGGTACATGCTCTTTTTCTATCGATCTCATGACTTGTTTACCTTGTGAGAAGCATCATTTTGGGTAACACATGAACTCTCTCTCTCTCCGGTTGCAGCTTTTGTTTCCCTTATCTTTACCTTTATTACTCTTCATTTTAGAATGCATAATATCATACGTATTGCAAGCAATATATGTATGTATGACATCCTCTTTTTTTCCTTTTTCATTAAATCCTCTTATTGCAAGTCATCTATGTACTTCATGTTAACATCTTCCAGGAAGATATCTTGGAAATCTTCAAATTTGCAGACAAAGACAACTCAGGAACTTTAACTGTGAAAGAAATCAATGATGCTTTGGAAGATATCTGCATACGGTATCCTCAAGTTGAACTCTATCTAAAGAGCAACCAAATGAGCAACATTGTTGATCTGATAAAAGCTTCAAAAGGTGATGTTGGGAAGGAATCTGTAGAACTCGACATAGAAGAGTTCAAAAATGCTCTTGCTGATGTCGATTCCGAGGTCAAAAATCTTCCTGCAACAGCTCAGGTAGTCCTTTCTTTTGAAAGATTGGTCACCTGGTTTAGATAATGTAATAATCACATTTAATTATCAAATCAGGTTGCTGCACAACAAGGAAACTATCTTGCCAGTTGTTTCAATAGAATGAAGCGTTGCGAAAAGAAACCTGAAGGTCCACTACGGATAAGAGAACTAGGTCGGCATCGCTTTCGTCCCTTTAGGTACCACCTTTTCCATTTTCTCCATCTGTCTTTGTCTTGCCAGCACATCTTAGCTGCTTTAAACAATTTTGGCTAGAATTTTATTCATTAAAATATGTGTTTACAAATAAAAGATGTCTCAGAGCAGGAGACTCTTGCCAACATGGAGTTCCAAATTCTTGACAGGAATTTGAAACTTCTGAATAAACAGGGAAAATATTTTATCTCCACATCTAACCATAAATTACCCCTGAAAGAGAATGTAAGTAATAGACTAGGCAAGCTTGAGTTCTGAAATTTTGGTGGTCTTCAATAAGAAGCTTCTTCATCTGTTTTGCGAGAACCTTTTGACTAAAAACCATTACTCATGAATTACATGTGAAACTTCATCAACCCCATGCATTTTCTCTATCTATTTCAAAGCTTTTCTGATCTAGTTTGTCCTTTTAAAGGTATAAGCATCTCGGGCAATTTGCCCCCTTGGGTGGAGAGCAAACAGCTGCACAACTCCCAGGAGATTGGATCTCTATAGGACATAGCAGCCAATGGCTTTGGTACTCGGTATATGCGAGGTATATACGCCTTGTATTTCTTCCTTTTCGGAACTTATTTTGTGTAGGCAGTGGCTTTCATTTATGCTATTAAGTATTTGTTTGTTCTTCTTTCAATGCAATGAGTGCAGTGCAATCTGCCTCTTTACTGCATGCATTGGCACAACATAAATTACAACATAATCCTTGATTAGGATCTTGTTCACTTCTTGTTTAAATCCATGTCCAGCAAGCAAGTCAGTTGGCGCACGAGGGCATTGGTGATATCGGACTGGACAAGGCGATTCATACATGGGAGGGACTCAAGCTGCATATAATTCATCTACAAAAATGCAAATTTTGCTGGAGTTTCAGTAACTGAAGCTGCATCGTACCGTGATCTATCTTATCTTTGCATCGATCTCAGCCTTTTTGTTAGTTAGTAATAAGATAAAACTCTTTTTGCATCGATTCCATTAATGTTGTGTTCTGGAGAGATGCTGAGTATGGTGAAGTTTTGCCATCTCCTCTCCCATGCATCATTTTCGGATTTTAGTGAGAATTGCTGCCAAAATGTGTCATCAATTCCTCATTCCAGTAGTTCTTCTGAATGAAATATGAATACTTGGAATTCTTTTGATATTGACTGTATACATTAATTGATGCATACATTCTTATGGTATGACGTAATCGGCTTCTAAATCAGATGACATATCTCATTTGTGCTTGTATTGCACATCATCCACCTTTCGACTCCCCCTTCTTCAACCGTGTTCACCTCTTCATTCTCTTCTCTGCTGCCTAGTTTGTCTTCTCCTCCATATTTTTCCAACTGTGAGAGCTATCAGCTCTACCTCCATGACTGCTGCTGTGTTATGATCTGTGATCTGATCTACTTCAGAAAGAAGAGCTCATCACAAACACTTGGCAAGCACCTCTCTGAGAGCAGAGTGATACCAACCATCGAGCTGTATCTTCACAGATGAAGAAGCATCCCAAATAATTCTAGGAATCATAATTATTAGAAATAGAGGAAACATTAATCAAGAATGAGCTTGATGTAGTCTTAGATATCAACAATCTTTTTATCATGTGCATCACTGCAGGGTGGACTCTTTGTTCATATTCCCAATTGATGTCTCCTCAGCAAGTCACCTTCCTGATCTGATATATCTCATCATTTTCTTTTTCTGAGATAAAACTCTCAAGAAATTATGATGATATTGAAACTAGCAAGATTCACAACTCTGTCATTGCAACAAAGATAATCTGATAGGATTTTGACTATTTATATGGTCGATCCCATGTTAAAGTTGATCCGATCAAACTCAGTTTTTTCTTCGAATTTAGTCATCCTCAAAATCGAAACTCATTAAGTGTTATCTCGATACTAAATTCTCAAAATCATAACCTCTTGAAATGGCTAAGTCGGTAACGTTTTTTCGAATTTAATTATCCTTAAAATCTAAACTCATTAAGTAAATGTGTGATTTTAATTAACGATTATATTTAGAATAAATCTAAACCTTAAAAATAAAATTGATCATGTAAATATCCTCTCTTCAATTTATTCAATTACCTACATTTCACATCTATTGCTTTAAGATTGTCGAAAATGAATCATTCATTTCGATGGTGATAGATAGCACAGGAATAAAAAGTCAAAAGACTCCCCAACATATTTTATGGTCGGCCATCAGCGAAAGCTCTGCGGAGTCCCATCTCTCCAACACATGGTTGGCCATCAGCGAGCAACCATGACAGCCTCTTGCTTCAGGGAAGCTTCTCTCTCCTCAGGGCCTTATATAACTCTACCCTCTCTTGCCTCCCATCGAACATCGCAGGATCCTCACAAGCCTTCTTCCATTACCATCATCTTGGATTGGACTCGCAGCAGCCAAGAGGAGAGGGAGAGGGAGAAGGAGAGTGAGAGGATGGGTTCCAGGAGCAAGGCCTCGTTGGTGGTGGCAGCGAGCTTGGCCGCGGTGGAGGCCCTGAAGGACCAGGCGGGGCTCTGTCGATGGAACTACATGCTGAGGTCCCTCCACCAGCGGGCGAAAAACAGCGGTGGCGGCACCGGCCAGTTCCCGCAGGCCAAGCTGACCATTCCCTCGGTCGAGCCGTGGCGAAGGGGCGGCGTGGGCGCCGTCGAGAGGGCCAAGCGGACCGAGCAGTCCATGGGCAAAGTCATGTATTTGGAATGCTGGGGTCCCAAGTAGGCAGAGAGAGAGAGAGAGAGAGAGAGAGGGGAAGAAGACGACTTCCGCGACTCTTTCATGCGTTTTGGCCACTCGTCAATTAAATCCCTGTCTCCTGATGTGATGAAATCATCGATTTGTCCTTTTGTTGACTTCTTTATATGAAGAATAAGATTATTCTAATAATTAAATGTTCTATTATAAGCTTCTTTTTGTTGCAATCATGGACGGGAGGATTATAGTTATTGGCATTCCCACCAAGTATAAGGGTACTTTGGTCTTTTTGAATTTCATATTATATTTTATATTGTTTTTTAAATTTTTAGTTTTAAATTACCAGAATAACTGCTTTGTGTTTTTATGGGACTGTTTTGACCAAAATATACAAAATTTCAAGTTTATTACTGATTTTAAAAATTATTAAAATAACAGATTTAATTTTAATAATATTCTTTATTATTTTAACCAATTATTTGATCTTTATTTTTTCATTGTTTTTTCGAGAAGGATATTATTGTCAATTAAAATTTTGATGTCGTTATGTTGATAATTACATTGTCACATGTAAATTAAATGTAATTTTATTTTGAATATTTACACACATACACGCGCGAGTGCGCGCGCGCGCACACACACACACACTATATATATATATATATATATATATATATTGCATGCGGCGCCTCCGTGGCGGCGAACTTGGCTCCGGTGACCCCTTTCGGAACCGAAACTCCTGCAGCTCGTGATCGGAAAGATAAGCGAGATCGGATGCCTCCGCCGGCGCGGCCTCCCTCCCGGCAGGCGCTGCGGCCACCGCCTCGACCTCCGGCGCCGGGTAGTCGTATCTCCCTGGGAGCGGGAACTTCTCCTTCCAATCAATCTGTAGAGGTTCCCTCTCCCATCTCCATCGTTGCTCCTCCTCCTCGAACCCTAAACGTACAGAAGTTCGCGGAATCCCGAGGTGCCGAGCTCTCTTCGCTCCATTCCATCATCTGTAAGAAGTTTTAATGAAGCCAACTTGTGTTTCTAAATCATTGTAATAGAAACACAATAAACTAATACGGAAACGAAATAGCGTACCTCCAGCCATTGTCGCCAAGAATTTCTGCAGAGGTTTCTTCTTGAACTTTGGTTCTTCTCGGCTCAGAACTCTCGCTTTAGATGGTGTAGGAAAGCCCTTCGCTTCAAAGAGATGATTGAGCCAAGGGACCAAAATCCTCATGTATATATAGATGTTCTCCCATCAAGAACATTTATCATCACCAACTCATAACATTCAAGAATTAATTCAAATTTGTAATGTTTGGACCATAATGAAGAACTTAATGATATTAAATATTAAATTTAATAATAACGGTTTCATGC